GGTAATTCGTAAGGCCTTGGTTAAGCTCTTTTACAATCGTCTCGCTCCTATACTTGCATCACACCATGTTCTACAAGGAGGTAATTTCGCAAGTTTACCAAGAGGTTACTGCCATGATCATATAATTACTCTAGAATCTATTATCCATGACTCAGTAGTCACCAAACAACCCTTATGGATCCTCTCTCAAGACATTTCAAAAGCGTTTGATTCTATTGATTTATCCATGTTGAGTATTGCTCTACAACAATTACATCTGCCACAAAATGCTATTCAATTCTTACTTTCTTTATTTATGTAACGTTCAAAACGTGTAATTACTGCACATGGCCCTACTCCACCATATAGAGTTAGAATTGGGATTGACCAAGGTGAAGTTATCTCTCCGCTCTTATGGGTTATTTATTTAGACCATCTACTCACAGCTCTCAAAAATGAGAAGAAAGACTCTTATAGTTTAGTTTCTCCAATGGCTTCTGATAATGTTTCATCAAACTCTTGTTCTCTGGATGTTTTAGAAATTAATAATTTGGTGTTTATGGATGATTCTACTTTGATTTCTTCTTTTAAAGAGGGAATGGAACATATGTTGTCTATCACTGAAGAATTTTATAGTTTGAACAATACTTCAGCCAACCATAATAAATATGTTTTAGCCACCAATGCAGTTACAGAATCTCGAGATTTATCTCCTATAACCTTTAATTTGAGGACTTCATCACTCAACATTATGTCCAATATTACTGTTACTCCTATCCCTATGTCCTCATCTTTCCGTTTTTTGGGCGTTTGGTTTAATATTAACGGCTCTAGGAATTTTATCTGACAGCAACTCAAACGAGAATGTAATTCTTTCTCTGCAAATCTCCGCCCTGCAAAATTGACTGTTCAACAAGTGGTATATCTATATAATACTATTTTAATCAAGAAATTGGATTATAGAATGCAAGTCACGCATTTATCTGAGATTAAATGTTCTACTATTACTTATTCAGTTCGAGCCTTAGTTAAACACAAGGCCAAATTATCACGTTCTATTCCTAATGTGGTGTCATATTTAACACAAGCCTTGGGTTTGATCAATTTATTTTCGTTTCAACAACAAAGTCATTTTACTAATTTATTTTTGTTAGCAAATTCTTCTTCTGTTTTTATGAAATCACTTTTTAATTATAGGTTGCGATTTATTCAATTTTATTGTTTAATTCCTATTTCTCCTTTGATGGTTTTGGATTGGACTTGTTGGTCTTCTCTTATAATTTTTAAACAAGATTATATCGCTAATACTTTAGCTTCATTGCTCTCAACTCCCTTCCGTCTGTCACGCGCTAATTTATCACTTGTGCCTGATTTAACTTATCCTAATGGCCATACTCCCATTTATCAATGTCTTTCTTTGGATGTATTCAAGGCCAATTTAACAAGACTTCGAAAACATGGCCTTTTTTACCTTTCGCAACTTTTGACACCTCAGGGAACACATTTACTCTCTTGGTCTGTCATATATGCTAACTCTATTCAAAAGCGTGGTAATGCCCGTCTTCCCAATTGGTATAAAAATCTTTCTGCCAACGTCACGATTCCAGATAAACCTGGTTTATTGAAAGATCGATTTATGACTGAACAACGACCTGTGAGCCAGATTGCAAAAGAACTTGCTCTTTGTATTCCTCCTTCTGGTTATAAGAAGAATTGGATTGTCACGATGAATGATGATGGCTTCCCTATATTCGGTAAACAGATTCAAATCCAACCTAAGTATTTTACTTGTACTATTGTACATTGGATTTCAGACTGCTTATCTCGTCCGAGCGACTTTATTACTTTACAACCCTGTCCTGGCTGCATCTTGAATATAAACAAATCCTCTTATATAAAAAAATCGGTTGCTACCAGTTCTGTGTCTTGCTCCTATTCGGTCTCTCTTCGTCGGTCATGGATTTTGCCTATGAAGAAATCATCTATTATGAATCACACATTCAGCTTGATTGCTACGGTGTCATGGACAGAAATCATGGATTTTGTTACTTCAATTTGCAATCCTTCAGTTCGCTTAGCGTTTGTTGCTGATATTCCCAATATTTTCCTTGATACTGTTGACATGGCTTTGCCTACTCCACATTTACTTATGGCTGGCGATGTTGCTGCATTATCATTGGTCGTGTTTTCTCCAGACTCACATTATACCTTTTACACTGATGGTTCTCTTATTAATTTAGGAACTAGTGATGCCTCTATGGGATGGGATTGGGTTCAAATTGTTAAAGATTCTGGCTTTCATAATTCCATTGCCACTTATAAGCGGGGTATTATTCATGATTGGCCTTTCTCTTCTCAAGCCGAAGCTGCTGCTATTTATGCTGCCTTATCAGCTTCTCCTGCCAACTCAGTTGTTCATATTTATACAGATTCACAGTCTTCCATCGAGGGTTTGAAACATTGTTTTTTATCTGATTATTCAGTTTCTCGTCTTTATTATAAGACTACCAATTTTGAACTTTGGGCCATCATTCAACAACTGATTGTGGATAAACAACTTTCGGTTTTGCCTTTCAAAGTTAAAGCTCACTTTAATTTTTATTGGATTGACTTCACTGATTCTCTTGCCAATACTGCCCATACATCTGACGACACTGTTCTCATCTTCCATCTCGATCTCGCCACGGTTCATGATTATATTATGCTTTATGATGACGTGGTCTGTGAATCCAACCCAAGACATCTGTTTAAACAATATCACCAGATGTTGTATATGAAAGACCTCTTAGCTCTTTCTCGCTTCCATTTTATTTCTCTCTTAACGGATCCATCTCGATACATGATTGATTGGGCTCTTACCTAGCATACATTAATGTTCCAACCTAAATTTGATAATTCTTTCACCAAGGAGAATGTCTCTAGACATCACACGTTAAAATTTCAACTTTTTCTGGAAGACCTACCCACTTTGGAATCACTGAAAAGGACACGACCTGATTTATATGTGGAGATTTTAACCTGTCGCTCTTGTGAAGATCATTTTGAAGATTTTATGCATTTATTTTTATGCAAAAAGTGTCGTGTTAAATTACACCAAATTTTAACATCCTACCTCCACCACCTTATTCAAAAACTTAAAGAAGCGGGTGATAATGCCAATTGTGATTATTCTTCTCTAGTTGATAGAATTACTTCCCTCCCTTGTTGGACTTTCTCATCTAGTAATTGGTCCTCCTATAGTCTGGTTCGTGGCTGTTTGCCTACCGCCTTTCTAGAAGTTTTTGAAAACTTAGGTATTCCTCGCCTTGCTGCTATGAATGTGGTTGCTGCCATACATAACAATTTTGTCAACAAATTCCGTAAACGAATTTGGAATCCGCATTCGTATGATAAAGGATTATGGGAATATGCAATAAACATCACTTCAACACTTAAACAATTTTCAAGGCCTAAAGGTTTGTCCAAATCTTCTTATTTACCTTACTCATCTTTACCACTTCTGACCTATGCTGATTCACGTGACTCCAGAACCGATTGGTTAAAAAACTCGATGCAATATGGATTATCTTGGTTTAATCACATTTCGGTTTTTATGGGTCGTCTAACGGTGCTACTTAAAAACTGCTTTTGCAGGATGGAGTATCGATTTTAATAGTGGGCGCGTCATTTGTTTTTTTGTTAGCATAGTTGCTTCTACTTTGGTTGGAATATATCAAGGGGAGAGATCTAGGAAGTGTTAGTATTAGCGAATTTTATTTTGAACTTTCTTTTAATTTTAATTTCTTTCTAGGAGACTATATAGCTTTGTTTTTAGTTAGTTTTTATTTTATTTTCTTTTTCTTATATGTAATTTTGTAAAGTTTGATAAATAATTAATAAAGATAAAGGCTGCTATGCCATGTTTGCCTAAAAGTCCATTATGACCTTTATATTAGATATCCAGGATCCTTCAGAGATCAAAGAAAAAGAATTCCAACTATTTTTTGCAGACAAAGCAAATGTAAACATGAGTTCTTACAAAATAGACGCAAAAACACAATTACCAATACTTTATTTGAAAGATCAAAAAAGTGCTTTTTGGGAAAAATTTTCTGCTACTTATCCTGATGGGATGAAACGTACTTCTTTTATGTTCTGCTTACAAAATAGTTACTTCAAATCACTAGTCGGAATATTCCATTTCGTCCAAATTTCAAATTGATGAATGTTGAGCGAAAGTTGGTCTAAATTCAGCTGATCATTGCCAAAAAAATCATCAAAATTATTATGGACGATTTGCACAGTTCACCTGCCACTTGTCAACAAATCGATCAGTAGAAATTGACAACAAATCAGTAAAATCAAATTGACGATTGTTAATAAACCTAATAATTTATTACTGATTTTTGTACATTTAACTAATTACTGATTTTAATTTTATAATAATTTATTAATTAAATTTTATTAATTCGTTTATTAAAAATTACATAAATTAATATCTATCTATCATCTATATACACCATCCACTGCCCACCATCCATCATCCATCATCCACCTAACCTGATAAAAGTCTGTAGAAAACCTACAAAAAAAAGAGGAAACGGGTAGTAACCTATTTTTTAAATAAAAAAATTGAAGTTTCAAAAGAAACTTACCTGATCTAATAAAATCTGAAGAGAAACCTACAAAAAAAAAGTAAAGAAACGGTTAGTTCGTTTCTTTAATAAAAAAAAATAAAGTTTCAAAAGATTTGAAACTTACCTGCCCATCCAATAAAGTCCGAAGGAGAAAATCTACAAAAAAAAGAAGAAACAATTAGTTTAATGTTTCTTTAATAAAAAAATTAAAGTTTCGAAAATTCGAAACTTACCCACAAATTCGATAATAGAAACTAACAAATAAAAAAAAGAAACGGTTAGTTCGTTTCTTTAATAAAAAAAATAAAGTTTTGAAAAATTCAAAACTTACCCGCCCATCTAATACTCGCCCATCCAATAAAGTCCAAAGGGAAAATTTACAAAAAAAAAGAAGAAACAATTAGTTTAATATTTTTTCAATAAAAAAATTAAAGTTTCAAAAATTCGAAACTTATCTGCCCATCCAATAAAGTCCCAAGGGGAGAACCTACAAAAAAAGAAGAAACAATTAGTTTAACGTTTCTTCAATAAAAAAATTAAAGTTTTGAAAATTTGAAACTTACCCGCCCATCCAATAAAGTTCCAAGAAGGGGAAACCTACAAAAAAAAGAAGAAACAATCAGTTTAACATTTCTTAAATAAAAAAAATTAAAGTTTTGATACTTCAAAACTTACCCGCCAATTTGATAATGGAAACCTACAAATAAAAAAAATAAAAAAATGGTTAGTCCATTTCTTTAATAATAATAAAAAATAAAGTTTCAAAATACACTTCAAAACTTACCCGTCTATTCAATATTAGTCCGAAGAAGAACCTACAAAAAAAAATTAAGAAACGGTTAGCAAACCGATTCTGTTATAAAAAAAATTTCAAAGTTTCAAAATCGAAACTTATCCGATCCATCAGCCTGAAATGGAAGCCTACAAAAGTAAAAAGAAATGATTATTAGTAAATCATTTCTTTTAAAGTTTCGAAATTAACCCAACTTCAAAACTTACCATCGACCAACTCATGCCCTAAACTCTAATATCTATTATACTTCGAGAGCGAATAGAGGTGGACCAAAATGAAAAGGTGATAACAGGAATAATGCACCAAAAGCGGGTGGTGATGCACCAAAAAGAGGAGGTGATCTTGAACCTACAAAAAAAATGTTAGTAAACGTTTTGTTAAATAAAATTTTTTAAAAACATTTAACTCTCCTACTAAAGTTCCCACGTGTCTAAAAGAGGTGATCTTGAACCTACAAAAAAAAAGAATAAAACGTTAGCAAACATTTTGTTAAATAAAATTTTTAAAAAACATCTAACTCTCCTACTAAAGTTTCTATGCGTTTAAAAGAGGTGATCTTAAATCTACAAAAAAAAGAATGAAAACGTTAGCAAACATTTCGTTAAATAAAATTTTTTTAAAAAATCTAACTCTCCTACCGAAGTTTCCACACATCTAAAAGCTGAATAACTAAAAAAAAAAATTTGAAATTAGTTTATTAAGGCAAAAACAAAAGAAATAAAAAAAATTAAAAACTTACCAAAATACTGTATCCAAAGAGTCGAGGCATCACCTAAAAGAAGAAAGAGGGAATGGACGAAAGAAAGGGAAAAGGGAAAGACAAAAAAGTGAGAGGAAAGGGAGATGAAAAAGTGAATAGAAAGGGGGGAAGACAAAAAAGTGACGAATAGGGTGAGTGGAAAAGTAAAATGAAAAAGTGGAAGTGTGAGAAAAAAAAAAGTTAATTTAAGTTAAATATAGTATCACCTATTGTGTAATGCACGTGATACATAATTTTATAAAATATCGACTAAAAAGTTATTGGTCAATTTTTTTTCAATTTTTAAGTTTAGCCAAAATCTAGTCGAATCATGTGACACTTCAGACGAAATTTTGCTGAAAGGTCTTGGTGACGAAAGAAATGATTTTGACCAGTAGCGAAAACAACAGTTGATTCGCATCACGCAACGGTAAATAATTATTTTGATGTAATTTTAATTTTTTTTCTCATTTTATGTTAATCAATTATAGATTACACATGTGATCAAAAGATATGTTAGAATTGGATGTGATCTTACTGAAGGCGAAAATATTGAAATGGCACTTCAAGATCTAAACGGGATATCAGTATCACATATAGAATCAAATCGGGATATAGAAACATTAGTTGATCAAGAAAATTTAGATTAAGAAAATTTGAGGTAAATTTATTTTCAATTATCTCAATAAAATAAAGATATAATCGAAAATAAAATGATAGATCTATAATTTTATAATAGATCAAGAGTGTAAATTTATTGTGAAATCTTATTTGTAATAAAAAATAATAACATGTAGTAAAACTATTTATAATTGAAAATACAATAAATAGAACACTAAAACTAAAATTACTGGTAAAATAAAAATAAAAAATAAATCATTAGGTTTATAATTTTATATTAGATCAAAAGTGTAATTTATTTTGATTTTATTTATAAACAAAAAAAAAAATACAACTATACCGGTAAAATTATTTATAATTGATGAAAATACAATAAATAGAATACTGAAACAAAAAATTACTGGTAAAACTAAATAAAAAATATTGTTCATAAATAATGGAGCGTAATAAAAATGATAGAACGCTAGCAAAAAAAAAAATAATATCAATTATAAAATTACATAATAGGGATAATCAAAAACCAAAAAATACCAAAAATATCAAAGAAAAAAAATCTAAAATTATATCCAGCATTTCAAAGTGATTTGGGTGGAGTTGGCCTGTAGCAGGTTAATTTGCTGAATGCGTTTATGCATGCTCTCTTTCACATATTGGCAAATGGATCGATTTCTCTCCTGCACAAATTGCTAACCTTTGTGGTACAGTTTACAGACCCTACCCAACAGTTTCAGAGCCAACTGAGCCAAATACTCCTTGGATAATGCCGAATCCTAGTATAAAAACAGGTTGTATAATTATTTATTGCTGCAAATTTGAAATCATGGAAAACTAAATAATTACCTGTAATTATTTATAAGATTCAGAGTTTCCAATAAATGAGGTGGTAAATGAAATCGTTGAGAGCTAAGCTATAAGGTAATATCAACATGAATTTTCATTTTATTTTATACTTAGCAAAATACTAATACTAAGTAACTAAATCTTTAGCCTTGAACAAGAATTTTCTCTTAAAAAAGGATGGGCCTTGAAGGAAAATCTAAAGCTTAGTAATAAAGGTGGAGGTAAACGTATATCAAAAAATGTTGTTCAGTATTTACAAGGTTATTTTTGGCTGGAAATCTGAGAGCTACGGATTGCTATTCACCAGAAAATATGTACACCTGTTTAGAAGAATTGGCTGCAAAGGGAGAACTTACCTTGGAAGAAATACCAATAGTAAAAACCATCAAAGGATGGATAGGAAGGCATATAGTGCTATTTTCAAAAAGGAAGCATCAGAGAAGACGCTGATTGAAAATATGAAAAGTAATCAAAGTGGAGCAGTTGTGAAAAGTAGTATTAAACCCAATAACCGCCAAAAAAAGGTTAAAAACTTATAGAGAGTGTTTTGTTAGAGTAGAAATTAGCGGACTATATCAATAAAACTATTATGAAATCTTCCTTTCCCTTATATAAAACTTCGTAAACTGCAATATAATAAACAGTTTTTTTTTTACAATTTGCTTTTTAAAGATCCTCATCACACAATTGTAATAGTAAATTAGTGTTTGGAATCATATAACAGTTATTTGAATAACTCGAGTATATTCGAGTATTCGAATAAGCATAATGGTTATTTGAGTATTCATTTAGCCAGTTATAGTATAGTTAAAATTCTAATTGGGCATTAAATCCTTAAATTTAACTGAGTTAAAATCATAATTCATGGCCAAAAATTATGTAAATCATTACTATAAAAGGAAATTTAACTTATTTGAATATTATTCGAATACACTTTATAAATTTAAATGAATACTCGAGTATATTTGAATATATTCGATTTCAAACACTATAGTAAATTACGCAATCTTATAACAAATAATTGGTGATTTATTTAATACAAAATGATCATCAACATTATTATATATAAAAATTGCATCACATTTTATTATAGAAACTCTATTGATCACATGCAGATCGGCAATTAATACTTATTAAATATTGCTATTCAATAAACATACGGTTTCAGTTGGTCTAACATCTACCTAATTTTAAGCAATTATTGATTTTTTTGCGATTTTTTCAAATTTTTCAGTTTTCTAAGTTAAATAACTCTGCGAAAATAAATTTTGATGCTTTAAAATGATCTGTGCCGCCCCTAAATCACATATTCTGAATGTGTACTACAAAGTGTTTATTTTTAGATTATTAAGTAAAATCAGATTTTTAATTAGTCTATTGTTCACATGTGGATTAGCAATTAAGTACTTGGGCAAAAAACAAATACATTAAAAGTATATTTTAAAAGTATTTTAGATACATTTTAGGTATATTATAAGTATATCGTGAATTAAAATTGATACTTATTTTAAGTATATTTTAATAAAATTTTAAGTAAATTTTAAGTATAAAAACTTTTCATAGGGATTATATTAATTTTATATACAATAATATATACTACTATTACCATAATATCAATATTACCATCATAATAATCTAATCCAATTCTTCACGATCAATGATATTCATTTTCTCAAAGAAATTATTCATTCACTCTATGACTTCGCTTGGAATCATATTAATACCCTTTGAAGGATCCAAATAATTTAAAGCAACTGTCATACTGAAAGCTATGGAATTTTTTTCTGTATTTGAACTAGTAAATACATGATCAATGATTGAATTAAGATAGGTATAATGTGGATCATTATTAGATCAATTGGTTAATTCAATTTTTTATACCAATCACGGGTTATTTTTGAATCTTTAAACTTCTTCTCTGCTTCACGTGTAACTTGATGATTTTTGGTCTTAGACTTCTCAAGATCCATAAATTCAGCATGAAGCCATGAACAGCATCCTTAACAATGATTTCTGATTTAAAATCAAAAGGGGGTTAATGTTGGTGCCATTGTAACAGATAGTGCAAGTGCATATACTGCAGCTAGGTAGATATTTTTATTCTATTTGATATTTAATACAATTAATATAATAATAATATGACTATTTAAACCTTAGGCAAAGATTAAGAATTTCAAATAGAACAATAGTTTTTTTACTTTGCTTTGCCCATCAGATTAATCTCTGTGTAGATGAAATCTTTAAAGAATCAACTGAGTTAAAAGTAGCATTGAATAATGCGATTAGACTTACAACTTACTTTAGAAATCCTAATCATAAATTTTTTGTAGCAAAATTACACGAACATAAAAAATTACTTATGATGGTAAAATCTATACACTAGCAGTTTCAGAAAAACCCCAGTGGAACAGTTATTACGAAGTATGTTCAAGTCTTTTGAGAACTTAACAAGCGTTACAGGTAAATTTACCAACATACTGTTAAATTCATTATTAATTATATTAAATTTTAATTAATTTATTAAAATTTGATAATTTTAGATACTTGCAATTAATTTTAAACCACTTTTTAGTCAAGTTTGACGGCAAGCAGGAGAAACTCCAACTATTTCATGTGAAATATTTGAGATTATTGATTCTGAATCATTTTGGATGAATATACATTTAATTGTAAAAATATTATATCTATATTGCAAAATACTAGATATTCTTTAAAAGGATAAAGCGCGTTTATTTCAAGTTATATACTGTTTTGCATACCTTTTTTAATTTTAGAATGATTATATGAATATTCAACTTGCTACACAAATTCAAGTACAATTAGAAAAAAGATGGAGTGATTGGAAACAGCCACTACTTTTATTATCATGTTTACTACATCCTGAATATTGAATAGAACAATTCAAAAATAATGTAAATATCAATTATACTACTTTTGGTAAATGGCAAAAAAAATCTACCTGTATTTTATGTGAATTTGATAATTTTCATTTGGACAAATATCTGTTTAATGATGATACATATGGGGTTTTTGCAATAGAAAGGTACAAAACTCAAAAAAAATTTTAATTTTACTTTATATGCTAATTATGTTTTTTTTTACTGAAATAAATGCAAATTTAATATTAATTTAATTTTTAATTTTTTTTGAGTTTCGTACCTTTCTATTGTAAAGACCCATATAAACAATTTAATAATGATATCTGTATTTTGCGAGAGTATCTACAAATGAATTAGGATTAGCTGCTTGCACATTATTTGGTATTTATGTAAATGCTGCTTCTGTTGAATGTTTATGGAGTTGTATGGGTTTTTTGCAAACTAATTGTCAAAATTGTTTAAAGTTATTTAATTTTTTATTTTATAAATAATATAAACAAATATTAAATTAATATGTAAATTTTTTTTTAGTCATCAAAAGTTCTTAATATGAGTAAATTAAGAGCGGATATAACATGGAAACATCATATAAATTCTGATTCTTCAATTTTAACTTCATTAAGTATTATTATAACTTGTAATGAAGAGGAAAATAATAATGAAAAAGAAGTTGAAGAAAATCTAGTAATTATTAAAGAAGAAGAAGAAGAAGAAGAAGATTTAGAAAAAAAATTTAATAATTATTTGCAAGGATGGTCAGAAATGTTAGAAGAAGAAACTTATGAATTTGAAGAAAATGAAAATGAAAATGATATAATGCATATAACAGTTGATGATATTCTTCATCCTGCAATTGATCCTAATGCTAAATGGAATTTGAATTCATTTTTTAAAGAATTAGAATTTCTTTTTTAATAATAATTTTATAAATTGTAAATAAATAAATAAATATTATAAGATCATGTGATATAAATGTCCCAATGTTCTGAAAATTAAAAAATTTTTGTTTATGTCCATGGACTGTCCTGCCCTGTCCCTATGACAACACTGGATAAGATAATAGTTAAGTTGCACATTTGCACTCAAATAAACAAAGATTTAGCTTGTATTAATTTCTTTTATTAAATGTATTTCTTTTAAATTTATTACAAAGTTTTTACATATAAATTATAATAAAAATTTCATTTCTGCGCATTAAGAAATATTTACTATAGTAATACCACCAATTTTATAATTAAAATTTCACCCCCTACGTGATCAGTGACAGTTAAGGGGTTGTGAAAAAAATAATTTTAGAAGGCAAAAAAAAAACTAAGTCTTTCAGATAAATATAAATAGTGAAAACGTGGTGGAGTGTGATGCCGGTGATGAATATTATTAGGTCACGTAAGGTGAAAAATTTAGTGATATTACCTCACAGGTCGAAAAGTGAAAAATCAGGCATCAATCAGTCACCAATCAGATAGCTGATTGGTGACTGATTAGTGACTAATTGATGCCTGATTTTTCACTTTTCGACCTGTGGCCTAGAGGTTAGATAAATAAACAGGGGCTAATTCATAGGTTACACAGACTGATCAATCCCTGATAAAGCTGAAGCCACATAAATTGGTTACACAAATTCATTCTCCATATTAAATATCGTAAAAATTTTAAATTTTTTTTAATTTTTTTAATACATATACATAAAAAAGCTGCTGATTTTAAAAGTTAAGACCATTTAGATTAGCTCTACATGTTCGAAGTGACTTTATTCAAATTGGGCTATTGTAGCTTTCTACAGGTTGTCTTTTACTGCTGAATTATACGAATTAATACATCGTTTCATACATCATATTAATTAACGTTTGTAAAAACTTTTGAAGACTTTATTTATTATGAAAACTTTAGTTTCAAAAGTACTTTAAATCTAATTTTTAACTCACTTTTCTACAAAAATTTGTCCTTTTGATATAGCTTCTTCAGAGAAAGGAGTTTCTTTTTTAAGATAATCTAAAATTAAAGGTATTAAACCTTTTTTTCTCTTGCATTTTATATTATCTCCAAACACTCAAAGTAACCATTATAGTTCGTTTATTGAAAACATTTTTAAAAATTCTTCTTTAGCACAATCAAATTGCGCCTAAATCTGAAGTTGTACCAGTCCAAGCGTAGGATTTGTTGGAATATTAGACTTTTTCATTAAAGTATGTTTGTTGTTTTCAATTTTGGTTGAATGCTGAATATCTTTACGCATAGCTTTAAGGTTTTCTCTGAGGCTTAAAGTACTTTTTTCAGAAATAAACTCATTGAATTTTCGCCAGGATTTTTACTTACTCCTCATGTAAATAGAAACGATTCTTTCGTAAAGGAAATTTGTATCTTTTAATTTATTCATAGAAAGCATCTGGCTGGAAATATTGAGAAGTGTATTAAAAGCTTCTAACAATGATATATTGCATAATAAGCTATTATGTATATATTGAAGAATATTAGGGCCAAATTCTTTATGTTTTTCAAATAATAGTAAGACTAATGACTTCATTTTATACATAAATTCTAGAAACTCTTGGCCTGAAATCACATTTGTTGTTTGAGATTGAATATCCTCTTCATATACAACTTGTTCTGAGTTTAGAATCATAAGGTAAATGTTAATGGCTTCAAATTCAGAGTGCGATTTTGTTATATTATCACTTTTAGTTAATTTATAAATAATCCATCCAACAATGTAGGAAAATTTTGACGCTTCTGCTGGTTCCAAAACAATAGTTTTTTCAGGTATCAAATGTGGATCAGCTGAAAGATGAATTTGTAAGCTATTTGGCATTGTTTTTTCACTGAATGTAAATTTGATTACTTCTTGTAAAAGGAAGTATGCAACAAGCCTTTGGGTAAAAGAACCATTTAAATTAGTTGCAGTGAGGAAGTCTTGATACTAAATTCCTGAACATTTGAAATTGTTGAGGTTATTTTCAAAGTGAGCGTGCCAATTAGCCAGCCATTGAACTCCTATTTTTTTCAGAATTGCTTTCTGAGCTATTTTTTTAATAATATTTTGCCATTTTTGTAGCAATTCGTCAATTGAATTCTTGTAAAGAATAGTTTTTATAAGACTGCATCGTTCATTCTGAAGATGAATTATTTTAAAGTTATCCTGATCAACATTTTTATTATATGATTCTAATGGAATTTTAACTTTTCCCATAATTAAATTATCTGCAAATATGTTTTTAAAAACACTTTAAAAAAGGGAGGATAATTGCTCTAAGCGAGTAAAATGCTTTTGATGCATATAATTGTCATCTTGAATATTTATGGTTTTTTTATCTTTTCGATAATCTCTAATTTAAATAAAAATTTTTTATTACATTTAAATAATATTATTCAAAATATATACCTTCTTATTAAAGTAGTAATACCAGTTCCAGTACTATCTTTTCCATAATTAAAACTTTTAACTTCAAATGAAACTAGTGCTGTTATTTGATATTTATTTAGGGCATATCCATAAGATTTAAGTGTGTGTGTGGAAGAATCTACACCAAATTCATGAATTACACCAAAAAGTCCTTCAAGTATATCTTGTGAAATACGTTTTGGTTGAACTATTGAACCTGGATAATTACTTAAAAGATATTTAAGTATTCTAAGAAAGCCATTGATAGATAAAATCAAGTCAAACTGACATTGTGATGAAATCCACCCCTTAGATTCTGTTTTTTGTTTATTATCATAAACAAACCAATTCTGAATTTCTTTTAAAGTATTAATACGTGAATCTTCTAATGACCAGAAATTAATTTTACTATGCATTATTTGACGATATTTTTGTGAATATTTAATGAAATTCTTTATAAAAAATTAAGATTATTATATTATTTGTTTTGTTTAAAGAAAAATATAATTTATTTTAAAAATTACTTACTCTTGTTTCTTCTGATATTTTTTTAAAACTTTCAATAGATGCCAATGCATCTTCAACTTCTTTTAATAATGTATATTCAGCTAAATCAACACGCATTTTACTCCATAAAATAAGCCATATATGACCTGTCTCTTATACACATCTAGATGTGTATAAGAGACAGATATATGACAGGACCCCGGATATCTAATATAAAGGTCATAATGGACTTTTGGCCAAAAACACCCCTTTTTGCTGAAACTCAAAAAATCGTTTTTTGTAAATATCTCAGCATCCAGTAATTCAATTTTAATGAACTTTTTTTATTTTGTAGCCCTCATTTCTGTCTCTTATACACATCTAGATGTGTATAAGAGACAGACCGAGAAACTTACAAAAAACGATTTTTTGAGCCCCTGAAAAATGGGCCAATCTGCCGAAAGTGTGACTTATGACCTGTTTTGGAGATATCCGGGGTCCTTATATGACGTTTTGTAAGTTTAGTAGCTTTTGCTGTTGCATGCTGATTTGTATGTTTATATACACCTTTTATATGTTTCCAACTAATCTCTTTCCCATTTAACATTATTTCCCTAGAATTCTTTTTGCCTGTATGACTTTTTGATAGATTATTTCTATGTTTTTTAAAAACATGTGTTGGAACTAGAGATGCTGGGCGAACCGAAATATTTAGTCATTTGACGAAACTGAAATAGTTTAGACATTTAAAATTAAAAGACGAAATGTCGAAATTCAATATTCCATGGTATTTCTATGGATTTTTTATAAATTTCCATGGATTTTTAATTATAATAATTATTTAAAAAAATAAATTTTTATTAAAATATAATATTTTTTAAAAAGAATTTATAAAACTAATTAATTTTATATATTTTTATAATAAAACTATAATTTTATATAATTAAAATTAAAATTAAAAATTATTATTATATAGTTTAGTCAATGACGAAACTGAAACTAGTTGGTGACGAAACTGAAATTTTTTGCAAAAAGAGTTTAGGCAGGCATCACTAGTTGGATCACTGATAAAAAACCAATCTTCTCCAGTAATTGGATTTATTGTTTTATAATTTGCTGAAAGTTTTTGGCTATCATATACAGGTCATAAAAATTTTTCAATATGATAATTAAAAACTTGCCATCCTTCATTAACTCCTTTTGCATTAGTAATTTCAACTGATAATATTAATTCAACTGGATCAAAAGCTATTATTCGTCCTAAATATCATTGATTATCATTTGGACTTCTAAATTCACATAATTCATTAACATTCCATTCTGATTTTGAAAGTATTAGTGGGCGAATAAAAGTTCGATCAATAGTAATATTTGTAGAATTATTGCAATTTAATTGAAATACAATAAATTTTGTTTTTTCATAATTGCTATTTATAATTTTTGCTGTGTAAAAAGATTTTTTATCTTTATTAAAGTTGACTTCTACAAGATCACCAGAAGACCACTTTAATGCATATCAATCAAAACTTTTAATGTGAATTCTATTTCCTTCTGCTCCATCACAAATTAATGCAATTATATGAATACCTATACATTCTAACTTTGCTGCAAGACTAAAAATTAATGTATTTAAATTGTATGCTTTCATATTATTAATTTCATAATAAGATATAGGATATGAAAAATTATATGTTATTGAATGCCAAACAATTTGATGAACTTGAGTTGCAAGATCATATTTTTGTTCACTTGATATAGATAAATTAGGTAAAGAATTTGTTGATTTTATTTCAAGTTTACATTGTAGAGCAAATGCCTCATAGTCTTGTATTTCATTTTCAAAATCCAAATAACCAACATAACAATTTTTACATTGATTCCATAAAAGACCTATTAAATTAACATATTATTAAAAGTAAATAAAAAATGTACATTTATTATTCTATGAAAAAAATAAATTACCTTTTTGAATTTTAAAAGAATCATGTGAAAAAAATCCTACCTGACCATATTCCCAAATATTATTAATTGTTAAATTTTCTAATATCCGATAAGTAATTTTATCTTGCCATCCTAAACATTGATCATTGTCATTTATATAACTCTTAAGTGTAGAAATTGATGGTAAATATATGATCTCCTTCATTGCATTATAAGTTGCATTGCCTGATTTGTAATATACAGATATAGTCTAACGTAAAAACTTACAATATAAATGATTCATTAATTTTTATATAAATTTCAAATAATTGCTTTTAAATTTAATTCTTATATCAGATGGTATCTTATTCCATTTGGACTTTTTGTTTGAATAAGAATAAGTTCTTGAAAAATAGGATGTAAATTTGAAATATTCTTTTGTTTACTAGCAACATTGTTAGCTACAATATAAACAACATTTGCCATTTCATCTGATATCTCTACTTCCTCTAACTTTATTTTTTGTTGTAAATATTTTTTCATATTCAAAATTATTTCATTTTGCATTTTAATAAGTCTTTGTTGTTTTTTAACTTTTTCTATAAGAATATCTTTAGATGCATGTACAGTTTTTGTAGAATTCATAATTAACAATCTTTGGCAAATCTGTTGCATTGTTTTTCTTAATTTTTCACAATTTTTGCATACATCTTTTTCTTTCACTACAAGCATACAGTCTATACATTGATCTGCTTCATCTGGTTTTCCTTGCTTTTCCAAAAAAGCAAAAGATATATGTTCTTTATTGTTATTTTGTTTATTGTTAACTAATTGAGTTCCTCTAACACGTATTACATCTTCAAAACCTTAAAAGTTAAAAATATTTAATAAAATGTAAAAAAAAATTATATAAAAGATTTTTTATTTTAATTTACCTTTGGTACTTTATCCATGACAAATTTTGAGAGAAAAAACATATTGTATAAGACTTTCTATTTCATTAAGAGTTCTTTTCATTGCTTACTTGAAAAAAGACGATGTATTTCTTGTAATATGTGATCAAGAATACAAACTTCATATTTAAGCAAAATACCTTGAGTTATAATTGTTAGTTTCTTTTCAGATTTTACACTTCTCTCAAAAAAATTAAATTCAAGACTTTCATTTATTTCTTGCACAGCCATTCCAGAAAATTTTCCTCCTGGCAATATTTCCTTTTGAATTAATAAAAGGATATCTTTGATATTTATAAACATAGCTGTCTTCCAATATGGAGAATAATTTGTTTCATATAAAATTGATGCAATTGGTAAACTGGTGGGATTTGACTCTAAAAATATTATTGCAAGAGCTGATTTATTTTCTTTGAATAATTTATGTTTTCTCAATCCATTCATCCATTTGGAAAAAGACTCATATTTGCGATCATTCTTAATACTATATATAAAAGCCTTTTTATCTTTTGCATCAAACATTAATACACCTTCAAAGTATTTATCTAAGGTTGGAAAGAAATAAACTGTTTGTCCTTTGAAATCAGGTCATATATGCACAAGTTCTTGTAGTGCTTCAGTTTTTTTTCACTTTTTTATTGGTAAAGAATTACTAATATTCTCAAGTATACGTGTCTTTTGACCCTATTAATATAAAAAAATACAAAAAAAATATTATTAATTACTATTTAAAGTCATTAATGTAGTATTTCTTTTTAAAATTCACCATTTTCCTAATACACTTTTCTAATTAGAAGGTATATGTTTCACTGATCAAGTTTTTCTAAAGAACCTAAAGTCAAACCGTGACAAACTTATACGGTAGATAGATACACATCACGTTACAATGGCATGATTTTTTTGTCTAAAATTATCTAGCGCAATTTATTTTTTTATTCAATTTAAGCAACGATATGCGATAAAAATTTTATAATTTTATTATAAAATCATATAAAATTTATATATGGCTTCAGTTCTGTCGATCATTAATCAGTCTGTGTAATCTATATGTTGGCCCCTGTTTATTTATCTAACCTCTAGGTGTTACTGGGAAAGTGTTAAGAAATCGTGAAGTCACGTGATATATATGATCACATGATGCCAGTGCTGACCACCATCTTCCCCAGTATCACCGACACTTTTTTCACCCCCACGTGATTTTGTAATATTCATCACCGGCATCACACCCCACCGCATTTTCACTATTTATATTTATCTGAGGGACTTAGTTTTTTTTTGCCTCACAAAATTATTTTTTTCACATCCCTTTAAATGTCACCGGTCATGTGGGGGTGGAATTTTAATTATAAAAGTGTCGGTGATACTGGGGTAAATGCTGACCACCCACTTTCCCACTAAATTTTTTGCCCCCACGTGATCTAATAATATTCATCACCGGCATCACACCCCACCGCGTTTTCACTGTTTATATTTATCTGAGGGACTTGGTTTTTTTTTGCCTTCCAAAATTATTTTTTTCACAACCCCTTAACTGTTACCGGTCACGTGGAGGTGGAATTTTAATTATAAAATTGGTGGTGTTACTACGGTAAATGCTGACCACCAGTGGTGGTAAATAGCAAACTTCAATATATAAAATGCAAAAATTTGATAATTTAACATGGAATTTCTCGGCAATTAGTCATTCAGATTTATTTTATAAAATAAAAAATTTTATTAGATTTGAATTACTAGTTAACAAGAAATTTAAAGAAATATGCTAACCACAACTTTTTTCTTAGCTCATTATATTTAATATAATTTTAATGTACTGTACAGTATATTTTTTACAGTATTTTATCAGATGAAATTCTTTTATTTAATGAAATAACTAAATTATCTTTACTAATTAGACTTTTACAGGTATCCAACAAACCTGATAAATACTTTAAATACTTTATTTTTATTAAAATAAATTCTCTTCTTTGCTTAACTTTTTTTCTACAACCTTTAAAGCAAGATAAGCAAAGAGTAACTTTTGAGCATATGTTAATAAATTACTTGTTCCCGTGATACATGATACTAATCAATTTCTGAATCGATAGTTTCGTTACAATGAAACTTGCGTTAGCATCAACTTATGGAGTATGTCAACTAGGTATTCAATATTATGCAAAAAAAACAAAAAAAAAAAAGAAATCTGGAATTACATTTTTATTCTTTGGCATAAAGTATTTCATAATTATACTAAAAAAATATTAAAATAATCAGTGGATTGTTAAAAAATATTTTTATTTTTATTTTTTAAAAAAAAAACATTAATATAGAAAAGACTTTATTTTTGATATTTTAAAGATATTTTGCGTTATCATATCATATAATAAGGTTGGTTCCTTCATTGCTTGTGCTAGAAATAATGCTTCTTTTTGTGTAATTTGTTCAAAACCATTAGGCGGATAACCATTCCGAATAAGATATGATGTCATAATTGACCGACCAACAAGCCCATTACCATTAATAAACGGATGAATATGAAGAAAAGCTGAAAGTATACGACATGCAATTAAGAGAGGGTGAAAACTGGCGTTTTTAATGCATTCATTACGAAATTGTATAAATCTTTCCATTAATGCAGGTACTTCTATTGAACACTGCAAAAATTAAATTAAAATTATTAAATTCTTTAATAAAATATTAAAAAAAATTATAACTTACTGGATAAACAGTTAAATGAAACCCGCCTGCCCTTACATCTACCATTCGAAACTCTCCTGTATGTTGAATTTTATTTCCTCTAATTTATATTTATCTTTTAATGTATCTTTTGTATCTTTCAAAATAATGTAATGAATTCTCTTAATATCATTGACTTATTTCATGTCGCAATTTAAATAAAGTATTATAAAGTGAGTAAGTGACAAGTAAATGATTCCGAATTTCATTTTCTGATTTACTAGGTGCTGGTAATGATATTTCCTTATTTTTTAGCAAATCATCCAAGTTATAATCTTTATTAATAAATCCCAAATTTTTTGTGTTTCTACTACATCTAATTCATTTCTTTCTATAGCGCAGCTTTGCTGCGTAAACTGTAAAGCTTACAGTCATATGTTGTAAAATAGCTGATAATCGTGTAGATACTTTAAGAGTATCAATTTCTTTAAAAAATTAATCTGTTTTGCTTGAAATTCTGAAATAGAACCAATTAGTATTTTAAGGTGAATAAAATATAAAATATAAAATTATACCATAATCTTTTGCGTGCCATTCAAATGGATGAAAATAGTTTTCTCAAATTCTTCCAGACTTGAAAAGTTTAATTTGTCCCTTATCGAGTTTCAAAATAAGCAAGTAGATCTGTGATCAAAATAGGTTAGAAAATTAAATCTTGGCATTTTGCACATGTATTTTTAAAATAGAAAAAAAACCTTATTTAATAGAGCATGCCTTTCCTCTTGTTTCATATTATACTCATGAACTTTTTTACTTGATGAGAAAAATAATCGGCGTTGAAAATTTGTGTTATGAGCAGTATTTACCAGAAGAAACTTTCGTAACATGATTTTTGGTCTGAACTTTTTTTTTCGACTTGAACATACATAATTACTAGATAATTTAACAAATCCAATAATTAGTCATAATTAATAAAAATTACCTGCCATAGACGGTAAGGTATCACACCTATTTTGTTTTTGGAAAATAATTGAAATAGCAATTTAAAATTAGAATTACTTTATTAATGTTATAATTATTAAATGTAAAGGGTCTAATAAAAAAATTTCTATAGTAGAAAGTTTTAATAATTAAATGCAAAAACTTAATAAAAAAATTTCTATAATAGATGATTAGTTCCGTGCTCAGCCGATTTTTAATACAAACGCAAAAGCGATTTTCATTATAAATTAAACAACAAATAGCGAGAATAAAAATAAAATTATGTGCGTATTTGGATGTGAAGCACAAATCAAATGGACAAATCTGGAAAATAATTTATGACATGGTTACACTAAATTTAGATCCGCATATTTTTGTACTCACATTTTAGAATAGTTCTCGAATGAATAAATTTCGACAGGAAAAAATTTTCTAGATAGAACTTTACCTTTTTTTATTATTTTTATTGGCAGGAGCGAGGTTTGTATAGAAACAAATGTGGCTATACATTTATATGTTTTTTAATACTAAGTACTAATTTTTTTTCTTTATAATTTATTCTTTTAGCGGATTTTATACTTACTCCTACTCTCATTTGAATTTTTGTAAATTCGTAAAGACGTATTTTACAAATCCCTCGCAAATATAACAATAATTCCTTTACCCTCACTACTCGCACTCCTTATCATCACTAATTGAAGAGAAAACGTTATAAACATGTCATACTACGAATATCCGTCTGGAACGGGAAATGTACCAGTATATGATAATAATTTTTCTAATCGAAGAAGTATATTAGTCGAACCTAATCATAATTATCCCCCAAATAATCATGTACGTTATGATATACACCAACCACAAAATGCTCACTATGCAAATGAAAAAGAGAACGTTAGATTTCAACATGATGTAGAAGCACCACGAAAGACTAATAAAATCATTTCAAAAAGTCCCGTAAAATGGTACAGAAATACGAGAGCAGTTTTACAAATGTTTAAATCAAATTTCTTATTGATTTTTCTTCCTCCCGCAATTATTATGAAGAGATTTGGTGTAAATGAATCTATATTATTTTTCTTCAACTTTTTGGCTATTGTTCCCATGGCAAAAATTTTGTCTGTGGGCATAAATGATCTTTCAGCAAGATTGCATCCAGTAAGAAAGAATTCTTTTTTCAATTTATTATTTCAACCAATACATAGTATTCAAAATTCAAGTTAGCTGGTTATACTATAAATTCTTTTTTTTTCTCAATCATTTTTGTGAGAGCTGAACAATTGTTATTTTTGAAAACGGATTAAATGCTAACAGTTAACTTCTTTATTATATTTAAGTCTTATGGAGCAGTACTTCACGCTTTTGCTGGAAATTTTGTTGAACTTGTAATTTCGAGTTATGCCTTAATGGATAAACAATATGCGATTGTCCGTTCCTCTGTACTTGGTGCCATTTTATGTAATATTTTATTGGTAAGTTTTAAGCGAAAGCCTTGATTCTGAAAAGAAATTTACTTATATCATTATAATTAATTAAACGCACGTTTTTTTTAAAATCTTATAGATTCTTGGTGTTGTGTTTTTGGCAGGGTCTTGGCCGAGAAAGGGAGCACGTCGTCAATCCATGAATGCACATTTATCTACACAACTTTTTGTATCTACAAGTGCTTCAACTCTCGCTCTTGCAGTTCTTGCTTTAGTAACACCCGCGGCATTTAAAATTGCTGCTCCAACTGGGACAAACATCGAATGTGATTTACAAAATATTAGTCACGCTACTGCTATTATTTTATTATTTGTATATGCTGGATTATTAGTCTTTCAATTAAAAACACATGCTAATGAGGTTTTTATTTTTTTTTTATAAAAGATTTACAAGATTTTTGAACATTATGATTAAAAAACTTCATTTATATAGACTGTTGATAATAATGAAGCACATCATGGCGAAGCACAATATTTCCTCGTATTTGACCTATTTTTGTAAGTATATTTTATTTTTCTAGTACCAAATTCCGAGTTTTTTTTTTTAAAAAAAATATATTCACTCAAATAAAATTTTTTTGCAGAATTGTCGCTTCTATTTCAGGTATCACTGTGTGTGCTAGATATTTGGTTACAAGTATTGAACATTTGGCCCATAGTTTTCATCTTGGTAACGGGTTTATTGGAATGGTCCTTTTGCCACTTTGTGGTATGTAATAATAATATTTTTAATAATTGTAAATAAGAATTTACTTTTTATATTAATTAAAATTTTTTTAAATCAGTCGTATCCAATTTCATGGAACATTACGATGCTATTAAAGAAGCCTCTGAAGATAAAGTTGATACTGCTGTCGGTTTAATTCTTAATACATCAGTTGTAAGTTAATCTTTATTTTTTTAAGAAAATTGATATTACTTTAATTTATATATTAAATAATTAATTACACATATATTTGGATAAAAGCAAATTGCACTTTTAGTCACACCAGTTCTTGTACTTGTCGGATGGATTACATCGAGACCATTGACATTAGATTTCAATACATTGGAAATTTGTGTATTAGCTTGTGCGGTGTTAATTGTAAATTATTTAGTTGCAGACGGTAAAGCAAATTGGCTAGAGGGTTATATGCTTATAGTAAGTATATTCAATAAGATTTCATTATTTTTAAAAGAATTTTACTTAAATTATTTTATTTTTTTTTAGGTTTCTTATATTATTATTGCAGTTGCATTCTTTTATTTCCCGAATGTACCTGAAGTTCCGGGGCTTGAAACTATGAAATGTAATCCTTGGAGTAGAAATCTTCCACCAGAATTGTTAGGGATTGGTGAAGGAGAGGGTGGTGGTAGTCATTAAATATTCATTGATTAGGTTTATTCTCTTCTTTCTTACTTCGAAGTTCCGATTACCTTAATATCCATAAAATATTCATCCACAATTAAAAAATTAGAAAAACTAGAAAATCAAAATCGCTCCCGCCATTTTCTCTCTTTATTTGTTATTATGATCTTTATTTGTTGTAGAAAAAGTAAATAATAATAAAATTTACTAATAAAACTAGATTTCATTCATGATTATCAATATGATTTCTATAATTGGTTAAATTATCGATCATTTATACAAAATCTATTTTTCATTTTTTTCTCGTTAATATTTTTTGTGATAATTGAATCAAAGCATTACGAGCATCGGATTCGGGTAATTTTAATATAGCATTAATAGCTGTTTGACAATGTGAAGCGGCTAATAATTTTGTTTGTTCTATTCCATTACTTTGATAAACTAATTCACTCGCCTAAAAAAACGAATAATTTAAAGGTTAAGATATTGAATGCTAATATTCCTAAAAAATAATTTTTTTTTAGAAAAAAAAAAAAAAATTACTTTTTTTACATCTCCTTCTTGAGAGAATTTACGTTTTATTAATGGACCTAATTCGGGATATTCCTCCCATGCATATAATACAGGAGCTGTAGCTAAACCTAGTCTTAAATCAGCTCCAGCAGGTTTACCTAGTTCTTTTGAACTAACAATAAAATCTAACATATCGTCTACCAGCTACAAGTGAAGAAAAAGTGAAAAAAAGTAAAAATTTTATTTTTTTTAAAGAAATCTATTAAAAAATACTTACTTGAAAAGCTAAACCAATATTTCTACCATAAGTATAAGCAATTTCTGATACTTCTTGAGTAGAACCACCTAATACTGAAGCGGCACGACAACCTTTTGCCATTAAACTAGCAGTTTTCATATAAGTTTTTTCCATATAATATTCAAAGGTAGCTGTACCTTTAGAAGGTACATTTTTAAGCTGCATAAATTCACCTTCAACTAAATTAGCAATAGCGGTAGCTAATAACTCAATAACTTCCGGGTTACGCAAACGGGCTAACGCAACTGATGCTCTAGCTAATAAAAAATCTCCTGCAAGTATTGCCATTTTATTACCAAAACTTATATTAGCAGAAGGATTATTACGTCTTGCTTCTGATTCATCAATTACGTCATCATGGAATAACGATGCTGTGTGAATCATTTCTATAATTTCTGCTAATCTTCTTTGAGTTGGAAGGATTATTACACCTGTTGAAGAAAATGATGGATAATATAGAGTTGAAGAAGTGTCTTTACTATTTAGTGTTTCAAATAATGATGATGTTGATAATGGTTTATCCATTGTTTGAAAATGTTCTGTGTAAGCAGCATTATATTGTTTTGGGGCAATGCTTGTTGCTTGTGACATTAATAATACAATTAAGGGTCTAATATGTTTTCCTTCAGAAGAAAAATAATATTCACTTATAGTGTTTAATAACGGATGTCCGCTTCCTATTAGCCTTTTAATGTTTTTTGTTAGATATAGTAAATCTTTACCTACAAGTTTAATTGGATCAATATATTTAGTTTCTTTTTTTCCATCTTGAACTAATTTTTCCGCTTCTGCTATTGCTTGATTCCATGTATCTGTTCTATTAATAAAATTTTTTGACACTGCTGATCCCCCCCCGAAAATTTCTTTTAATTTGTCGTTGTCTTTACTAGAATTTTTTTCTTTAAATATTGAAGATTTAACTATATTAAAGCTATTTGATATACGTTCTAGAAATGTTGGTGATATCTCTTTTGATGATGACGTTTTTGTATCTGTTGTTAATGTTGATTTTTGTGCTCTTGTAATGATTACTAATTTTAAAGGCGTATGCACTCGAATATATTTATGCCATTTATGCATTGATAGTAATATTTTTCTAGAATATATGTGCACCATCCTCGTGCTACAAAAAAAGCTTATTTGAAAAGTTCAAAAAAAAAAATAAATTTTTAACTGGAATACTTTTTTTTAATTGATTTATATATATGTATATATATATATATACAAAAATTTTTTTTTTTGGCATCGACATATAATTTTTTATCTAGTTTAACTATAAATGGAAAACTTTCAGGGGTTCAAACTATTAAATGTCACAAGAATATGATCTAAACCATAATTTGATTTCGATATAATCACAGAATCCTTTCTTCGTTTAAATATCCTGCTTATCCAAATATTTGTTATCCTTTTTCTTGAAAGAAATAATATTATACAACATACATTTAGGAAAATTTGTACTCTTTTTAAGAGTGGAATGGAAAATGGACCATACTAAAATGCATCCTACCAATTAAACCAATCAACATCTACCGTCCTCGGATCTATTTTTTGACTACTGTATAGAGTTGGAAAATATTTGATATCTTTCAAGTTGATAAATAGAAACCGAAGGGTTGATTTTCTCAATCGCTTCTAATACATCATTACGACTAATATATTTCTAAAACAGAAAAAATTTTCTTTAAAATTATCTCTCAATTTATAACATAATTATATATTAAATATACCTCGGTTGTAAATTTATTTTTATGATATTTCTTAAATGCCAAAAAAGCAGATTTTTGTATTAAAGCTTTTAAATCAGCTCCAGTATAATTTTCAGTTTTTTGAGCAATTTCTTCGATATTTATATCTTGAGCAAATTTCATTGTATTGCCTATTACTTTAAGGATTGATGCCCTTTCTTCAAAAGTTGGAGATTTAATATAAACATGTCTATCAAGACGACCTATAAAAAATAAAGTTGAAGGTAATACATTTTATTTAAATTCAGTTATATATGACTTACCAGGTCTTAAAAGTGAAGGATCTATAGCTTCTGGATTGTTAGTTGCAGCAAGAATTACGACTCCTTTGTCTGCAGCATTTAATCCATCTAATTCTAATAGGAGTTGCGAAATTAACTAAAAAAGAATTTAAAAATTTTTCAACTATTCACACTATTTAAATTAAATGAATACGTAAAAAGAACTACCTAGTACCTTTTTGCCTAAATCTCCACTTGAATCTCTATTACCAAACATAGCCTCCAATTCATCCAAAAAAATAATACAGGGACAGCATCGAATCGCAATTCGAAAAACGTTTGCAATAGCCTTTTCTGATTCACCCACCTAAAGAATGAATTTTACATTATTATTTTAATAATAGGCACATGAAATTTCATTCCTACATCATTATCAATTACACCCCATTCGGATTGTATTTTTTTTTTATTTCGCGGAAAATCCCAATCATATCTTACCTCACTCTTAATTAGTTCTGGTATTGATATTGGCATAAAATGAGCCGATGATTCTGTTGCAACTGCCTTCGCCAACAATGTTTTTCCAGTTCCTGGTGGTCCATATCTATTAAATAATAAAATTGATAATTTTGTATATCATGACATACGTGAAATAAAATTCTCTCTACGTACAAAAGAACTCCTTTTGATGGTTTAATTCCAAGACGTTGAAATGCATCAGCATGTTTATATATCCATATAACAGATTCCTCTAGTATTCTCTATATAAAAGGTTATCTAGAAATGTCAATGTTCAAATAAATAAAATTTTAATTTCATCTAAAACGTAATTAAAATATAATTGCCTTAGCTTCTTCCAATCCACCTATATCACTCCATTTAACAGATTCAACTTTTTGTACGCTAGCTTTCTCTTGTAAACTACTAATTCTAATTTCTTTAAAACCCTTTTGAATATCTTCATTTGAAATTAATAAGTTTCCGGGTTCACCTATAATATAAAATATTTTTTCGATCATACCATAACTTAAAATCTTGAATATATAAAATATTTAAGGATAAAAAAAGAACCTGTTTGTTGAATACTTCTAATATCGCACTGTTCTAAAGCTAATCGGCATAATGTTGAAATATCAGCCGCTACGTATCCGTGACATCTATTATTTATTTCCTTTAAACTTAAATTTTTTTCGAGATTTAAATCTTTAAGACAATATTTTAAAATTTCTAGTCTTTGAATAGGAGTTGGAATATTAAATTCGATTTCATCCTATAATAAATGATGTGAAAAGTTTAAATAAATACATTTCTAATGAAATTTCTACATGAATTATAAAATGATTTTTTTTTGTTTTGACAACTAAATCTTTTTCCTTCTAAAGAATAAAAAAACTATATATATACTTGAAATATTGATCGGATAATAGGATTAATTTGCGAGTTATTAGTTGTAGTTCCAACCTATAAAAGATATTTAGCTAACATATGTGAAAAAATATTGTATCATAAAATATTATTGGTATTACTTACAAGAAGAACGCGTTGTTCATCATTAATCCACGTATTAAACAATTCACGAAAATAAAATGAAAGTAAAGATCCACTGTCCAATGGAAAAATTAATTCTATATTTTCCAATAACACTAATAAGGTTAAATTAATTTATTAAATCAAAATAAAAATCATTTAACAAGAATAATTCGGTGTGCATACATACATACACTTGGTTGATTTTTATAAGAAAGATCAAGATAATGGCGCAATCCTTTTTCTGGTTCAGCAGAAAATTCGGCAGCTAAATCACCAATTGTAACAGTGAATAACTGAAACAAAAAAAAACAACCCAAAATAATTTCAGTCTTATTAAAATCTTATATAAACATAAAATAAAAATGGTAATTCACCTTTGCTTCATATTTTGAACTTAAATTATGGACAGCAAAGGTCTTTCCTAGAAAAAAAAGTATTTGATCAACAAAAGTTAATTTTGTGGTAAACAATCAAACATACCTGTTCCAGAAGGTCCATACAATAAGATTGATTTTGTTACATCTATATTTACATATGAACATAGTTCTCTTTTCTGAAAAGATATAAAAAATGATTGATCGACTCTATGAGGAAAAGAAACCATGATTGTGAGAAAAATTTTTGTGATATACTAAATTTTTAAACATTTCGAAGCAACACAAGATGTGATTGGCGATCTTTGTTCATGTGACATTAAGTGATGTTGTATTAACGAACTGGCTGGAGTTAACGTTAACGCTATCACATGCAAGTGCATAACTCCTAAACTCTGGTAGAATGTATGTACACCCCAAAATTATTTTAACAGTTAATTAAACTTTTGTTGTCCGCTATTTCAATAAACACAACAAAATTAATTAAAATTTAAACAACTAATTTATAGCAAAACAAACTCGTCCCTTTTTTTGCGTATCAGTAATGCCGACCAAAAACATTTAATGCCGGTCTAAATCGACATAATTCGGGCCAGAGGTGCATAGTAACTAATGAAACATGTGTCTGTTTTAAGCTTGAAACATTTTTGTGTGATCTCGGACGCTTCCAGATTCCAGATATTTCTTTCCAGATTATTTAATCAACACCGCAGGAAAAGAAAATTCGTATTGTTGTATTATAATTATTCTAAACAATGCCTTTTCTGAAATCCGAATGTTATGCCAAATGATGTATAGTACGTGGCGCAGATTTATGTGGCGCAGACTTTACCGATTCACCCGAAAATCAGAAACAGGCGTTGCCAAATTTTATGGCAGATCATTCCAAAAATGTATTTTAATTACAAGTTTCATAAATGCTCTTTTGACACAGTATTACATAATAACTTAACGTAGATCTTATGATACAATCCAGTAATTCATAACACAAAAATAGAAATATTGTAAAATCCTAATTGTTTCACAATATAACCGAATGTAATAATCCAATTCTTGTTTTTCTTTTAAAGGATGTTTTTTAATATTGTTTTTAATTTATTTAAATGTTAGTTGATTCCTTTTTTTTTGATTCATTTTTCTCACTTTTGACTTTTTCTTTTATAATCAATTTAACTTAATTTTAATTTTTTTGAAAATTTTGAGAATTTTCAAATTTTTATTTTCACGAGCATGGAAAAATACACTTCACAAGATGTATATAATAATAAAGCTGATTCTATAAGTAGTTTTACGTCAAACGACACACTAGTAGAACTAGTAGATTTAACGTATAATAATCGTGCGAGTATTCTTTATAATGATGATGAATCATTAAATTATGGCAAAGCATCAACGGAAGACGAAAATACGCAGCAAATTACAAGTCAGAAGTTAAGAGACTCAATACTTAAAAAAACCAGCATCAAAGCCACAACATTCACAAGTAAAGATTCAGATCAACATCATTATCATCAACCTTCAAATAATATTAACCCGGATGGCCGTTCAAAATCAATATATTTACCTGTACAAAAACCTCAATTAAATATTACACCTACATCTTTCTTTCATATATTTCAATTCGCTACATTGTTTGATTATCTTCTCATGACGTTAGGAATGTTTTTTAGTATATTAAGCGGTCTAGTGATTCCTCTTTTGTCAAATTTTTTAGGCAGAATATTTGGTGTGTTTACTGACAAAGAAACCGGAGTCATAACTAAACGATTATTTGAGCAACGAATAAATTCTTTAATATTTGAATTTACACTGTTAGGGATAGGAGCTTTTGCGCTTACAGCTTTGATGATTACGTGTTGGATGTGGACTGGTGAAAGACAAGCAAAAAGAATGAAGACAACTTATTTTAAATCTTTATTAAGAATGAACATTAGTTACTTCGAAAGTGATGAAATAACATCTGGTGGCTTATTGACCAGTGTGAATAAGGATACTGAAGAAATACATAGCGTAATATCTGAACATTTAGGATATTTTATTCAAGCTATTGTCACGATAACAAGTTGTTTAATATTGGCTTTTATGAAAAATGCCATCCTTACTCTCGTTATATTAGCTTCAACACCGCTTATACTCATTGTAATTGTTCTCACCTCTCGTACTGCAAGTCCATTGATCGTTAAAGAACGAAATATATTTATAAAGGCTGGTAATATTCTTGAAAATGCTCTTGCGGCCATTAAAACAGTTCGCGCATTTAATGGAGAAGAAAAAGAAGAAAAGAAACATTATGAATGTTTACAAGAGGCAAATGATGTATCTTCACGTTTAGCATGGACGTATGCATTGAGAATAGGTTTAACTCAATTTTTAACCTTGTCCTTATTCTTTCAAGGGTTTTGGTTTGGTTCAACATTAGTTGCTGATAAAAAATTGGCTCCAGGTGATATTCTCAGTGTATTCTATGCCTGTTTATTAGGGTTGAGCGTATTAAAAGGTATATTACCTAAGTTAGTTGCGATATCAAGAGCGAAAAATGCTATCCAGCCCATAAAAGAATTATTAGAAAGAATCGCAAGAATGGAATTATATGCTTTAAATGGGTTTAAGATCCCAAATATTGAAGGAAATATAAATTTTAATCAAGTTAGTTTCTCATATCCTAGTCGTCCGGATACGCTAGTTTTGAGAAATGTTAATTTATCAATTCCTGCGGGAAAAACAACCGTTTTAGTCGGTCAAAGTGGTTCAGGGAAATCTACAATAACACAATTAATTCAAAGACTCTACGAACCTAATGATGGTTTAATTACATTAGATGGGCGTGAATTAAGAATACTTAATGTTTCTTGGTTAAGGCAACAAATTGGTATTGTAAGCCAAGAACCGATTCTTTTTAATGATACAATTTTTAAAAATATTGCTTATGGAAAAGTTGATTATTGGAATACGACAATGGATGAAGTTATCAAGGCTTGCAAACTTGCTTGCATTCATGATACTATAGAATCCCTTCCAAATGGTTATGAAACTCATTTAAGTGAGATGGGTAAAAATCTTTCTGGAGGGCAACGCCAAAGAATTGCGATCGCCCGCGCTTTAATAAAAGATCCTGCGATTCTTATCCTAGATGAAGCAACAAGCGCTCTTGATATGACTTCGGATTTAAAAGTACAAGAAGCACTTGAAAATTGTCGACAAAATAGAACTACAATCGTTGTCACTCACCAATTGAAACATATTGGTGATAAAGATCTTATTTATGTATTGCATGAAGGAAAAATTGTTGAATCTGGAATAAAGGCTGAATTATTAAATTTGAATGGCTATTATAGCAAACTTGCGAATGAACATTCTTCAAATCCAAATCGTAAAACACATGAATTAAACAGTATTAATATGAAATTAAAGAGACAACTTACATTATTATTTCATGATCCTCAAAAACCACCAACAAACGTGAACTCATCCATTAAACGTTCCCAAAGTGCTAGAAAATCTCGATCTGGATGGCGACAATCAATTATCGAAGAATATACGTTTAACAATAGTAATGATATTATGGTGGATGTGATTCAGGGGACTGCTACCGAAGCAATCTCGAAAAGATACGCTGATAAATCGGCAATAGATGATATTATTAGTTATTATGAAGATAATATAGAAATACTTGTAACTGATGAATCATCATCCGCAAATAATAATATGAGTATCTTTGAACTTATTAGAAAAACTATGGATAAAAAAGTATTTTATGGAGTTGGGATTCTTTCTGCAATGATTGATGGAGGCATCAGTCCCATATTTTCAGTTGTTTTGGCAAATTTATTAAATACGTACTCTATACCCGATAGAAATGAGCTTCTTAAAAGTTCGAGAATATTTGCTCTTTACGTGCTTTTGATTGCCGCAGTAAGTGGAACGTCAGGGCTTTTGAAATATTTCTTACTCGAAAGAGCTTCAGAAAGGTGGGCAGTCCGTTTAAGACATATGGGATTTGGGAATGTGTTACGTCAACCTCAATCATGGTTTGATAAATCAGAAAACGCAACCGGTAAAGTGACTACAATACTTATTTCAGATACTGAATCGGCGAAATTCTTAATAGGACATTTTGCAGGAAATGTAGTTATTGGATTGGTTTCTTTATTAGGTGGAGCTATCTGGGCATTTATAGTTGGATGGCAACTAACTTTGGTTGGATTTGGATCGGTTCCCATTCTAATCTTATTTTCAGAATTAGAGGGCTATATTCTACAAAAATATGAATTAAAACAAAAAATTGCTACAGAAACTGCAGCAAATGAATTTTATCAAGGAATTTCAAGTGTTCGAACCGTGTATTCTCTTTCCATCGAAAAGATTATAGAAGATAAATTTCAAGAAGCTCTTCAAAAACCTTTTTTGATTGGAATTAGAAAAGCATTCATCTCTGGCGCATCTACGGGGTTTTTAGAAGGGTTATCATATTTTACTAAAGCTTTAACATTTTGGTACGGAGCTCAATTAGTTTCTCAAGGAACTTATGATCTCCAAAAGATGCTTATAGTTTGGACTTTGGTTATATTCTGTACAACATCTGCTTCGGGAGTTCTTTCTACAGTTCCATATTATAGTAAAAGTAAACAAGCCATCAAATCCATTCAGAAAATGATAAACCTTCCGGCTATTCTGGATAATGTTGGTATTTGCCCTGACAAATTACAAGGTTCAATCATGTTTAAAGATGTAAATTTTTCGTATCCTGAAAGACCTGATATTAAAATTCTTGACAAACTAAGTTTAAAATTAGAGTCTGGACAGTCTGTTGCTTTAGTAGGTAAAAGTGGTAATGGAAAATCAACCGTAGCCGCCTTACTACAAAGAATTTATGAGCCAAATAGTGGTTCTATAATGTTAGATTATGAAAATATTGAAGACATTCAATTGAGGTGGTTAAGAGAGAATATAGGAATTGTTAGTCAAGAACCTGTATTGTTTGATATGACTATAGCGGAAAATATTGCATACGGTAAAGATGATGCCACACAAGAAGAAATTGAGATTGCTGCCAAACAAGTTAACATGCATGAATTCATTTCATCTTTACCAATTGGCTATAATACGAAACTTGGTTCAACTGGATCTCAATTATCCGGAGGCGAACGTCAAAGAATTGCCATAGCAAGAGTTCTTATAAGGAACCCTAAAATTCTTATACTTGATGAAGCTACAAGTGCATTAGATACAAAAAATGAGTCAATTGTTCAAGAAACATTAAACAAAGTTCAACAAGGTCGTACTACTTTAATGATAACTCATCGTCTTAAGAATTTAAGAAAAATGAGTAAAATAGTTCTCATTGAAGATGGAAAAATAAAAGAGTCTGGTACTCATAAAGAATTAATGTCACTTCGTGGTGAATATTTTGAATTAATAAGAAGTGGAAATTCGTATTGAAATTTTATTCATTAAAAAATTTATTTATTTATTATTTATTTTATTTATTATATTGTATTTTCTTAATTTATTTTTTTTTAGTTTATTTGTAGATATAATTCATTTAATTCATTCATCTTTAATAAAAAATTAAAAACACGTGCATAATAAAATAACGTGTAAAAAAATTTTAAGCATCGAAATGACGTCAATTTGAAATAATTTACTGCGCATCTTGTGAATTTGCCAATACTTTTTGCCAATTATGACTTAATTTTTTAGGGACGCCCGTTCATTGTTACAATACCATTATATTAAAAATGGACAAGAAAAGAAACTTCCGATATTTCCCGTTTTATCTATTAATAGAAACAAGCTTGATAATTTTTACATAAAAGCAGGATCGTAGCCTTTTTTCGTCTACGAATTCTTTTTAAAAAATGAGCAATTTAACTGTTACGCCATCTGGAGAAGGAAGGCAAACGACTATTTTTGATACTTTTAAAAGTTTTACCAAAGATAATTTGTCACATGAAGTTCGTAGAAATCTTTCTAAATTAGATCCTAGGTTACCTGAAGATTTGAAAAATATTACTCTCTATTTAAAAGAAGAGAAAAATGTTTTAACAAGTTTACAAAATGCTGCGAATGAAAGAAGAGAAGGTTAGTTTTATCACCGAATTTAAGTATTCTTTGAACATGTCTAAGCATTTTCCTTATTTAATATTTTAGCGAGCAAATATATTTACGTGTGGGGAAGAGATATGGGTGAAGATATAGCTGTACGTAACAATAACAATTTTTTTTAAAAAAAAATGATTTTAAACTACCTCATAATAGTTTTCTAATTTTTTTTTTTAATTAGGATGTAACTGAAAAATTGGCCGATTTATTAACAAAAATCTCAGATGTTGAGATCGTATTAACAGGTAAGAATAGACAAAATAATTGAGATCATAATTAAAATTCTGTATCTGATTCGAATTTTCATTATAATTGACTCAATTTCACACTTTTAAAGAAAAATATGAACATTATAGAAATATTATTAAAGAAATTCGTGCAGCTGAGGAGCGTCTTATTGTTCATAAAGAAAGAAAACGAAAAATTAATGATGAAATACATAAAATATCGAAATCCCATCCAAGATCACCCAGAATTCCTGAACTTGAAGCTGATCTCAAAATGGTTAATCATGACTCTTTAGCTGATGAAACTGAAGTTGGTAATATTGTAAGAAAAAAATTTAAAGAAGCTATGGCACTTCATTTAAATGCTACTTTTGAGGCTTCGGAAAAGATTGCTATTATTTCTGGTTTTGGTTGGGATCTTATTGAACAAATTGATCCTACTCCTATTAAACCTGGGGAATCAAGGGAATATAAAGGTAAAAAATAAAATAAAATAAAATAAAATATTTATTTGTTAAAAAAATTTTTTTTTAATTAATAATACCAATACTTACAATTATTTATTATAGGTCGGGAAATATCTTCACAGGCTATTAAAGATTGTCAAATTGCTTTACATCGTTGGCAACCATCTCCGTCAGAAGTTAGACCTCTTTTACCAGCTTTAACTAATACTGCGCCAGCACAATTAGCAACCCAAAAAGCAGAATATGAAGCAAAAATTAGTCAAATTACAGGTTCTATGACTGCTTTGAAAGATGAACATGATACTCAAGTTGCTGATTTTGCAAAAAGTTTAGAGAATCAAAAACAAGAATATGAAAAACGAATTAATGAATTTGTTGCCGCTTTAGCCGCACAAAAAGATGGATATGAAGCACAACTTAATGATTTATCTGCTGCATTGCAAGCAGAGAAAGGAGAGTCTGACTCAAAAATTGATGCACTCAATGCAGCTTTAGAAGCTGAAAAACAAGCTTCAGAAAAAAAGGTTAATGAAATTTCTACTGCGCTAGAAAATTCAAAGAAACAACATGAGGAACAATTAAGACAATATAATCTCGTAATTTCTCAAAAACAAGAATACGAGGTGGCACTTAGAGAGAGAGATTCAATTATTTCTAAACTTCAAGCTGATGTTAATAGTGTGGCAACAGAAAAGGGAAAATTATCTCAAGTGGTAAAAGAATTAGAAGAAACTCTCAAGTCTAAATCTACAACAATTGATCAAAAAGAAGATAAGATTAGTAAATTAGAAGATGATATTTCTAGTATAAAGGACCAGCTTTCAGGATTAAAAATATCATCACCTGATACGACACAACTATCGAATCCTTCAAGCGGAAATACACGTCAAGTTGTAGGAAACGTTCCAGTTTCTGGAGAAGGTAGTAAAGAAGAAACTCTTAGCCGCTCTGATTCTAATGCTACAGATCAAGGACAAGTTCCTCTTATGAGCGGTCAATATCAGCCTGGTGGTTTTGGACATCCACCACCTCCCCCACAAGGATATTATGGTCAACAATATTATCAACAACAGCCATATTATCAACAACAATTTTATCAGCAAGGTCAACCTCCATTTGGTGGTTATCAACAACAACAGCCGCCACCAGGACAGTTTGGTCAAGCTGGACCTACACCACAGCCACCAGGTAATTTTGTTGGTGGCTTCTTCCTTGGACCTCCTGATGAAGCACCGCCGGCCTATGATGGACCACCAAAGGAAGGATTTCCCGAAGATAAAAAAGATTAATGGACACAATCTTATTTTGGATTATTATTATTACTATTATTTATTTATTTATTTATTTATTTATTGTTTATTAAATAATAATTAAGTCTTCTATTAGTAGTCGAATCTATTTACTGTATTATATATGTCATTAGAATATTTCTCCTTTTATTGTATTCATCATTTTTTATTGAATAAATTCTGTAAGTCACGTGAAATTCTAACAGAGTCGGTTAATGGCCTCGATTAAATATTTGGCCAGAGTTAACGACAGATCTAGAATTGTATATGTTATCACTGATTTGGTCTGGAGTGATAACTAACGTCAGAGATGTCAAACTGATCAGTTGTGGCAAAAAGGTCAAATAATAAGATTATAGGTGTTTCAATAATTTGTGACGAAAATATAGGATAATTCCCAATAGAAAATTAATAATGAAAGTATAATTCTGGTAAATAATGTAAGGGTTTCTTGAGAATAAAAACCTATCAAACAAATAATGAAAGACAAAATACAAGGTAACACAAGTAAATACGCGAAAAGTTTACTGAAAAAACTAACAATTGAATCATACAAAAAAAAAACAATACTTCAACTTTTATTCAAAAGATAATATTGCCATATATGTTTACATTTTCACACATGACAGTTTGAACTTATCAATATTATCCTATTATACTAATATGATTAATCAATCAATTGTCCTTTTTTCATTGCAATTATCTGCAAAAACCTTTCTATTACCATTTTGTACAAGTCCACATGTCTATATAATTCATCAACTATGTAAATCTCAAGAAACTTCTCTAGCTAACCAGTGTGTAAAATCTATGTGCACAAGATGCACATGTGCACATTAGTTTTTAAATGTGCACAGTTACATAACAAAAAATGTGCACAAATTATTACTAAAAATAGATAAATTATATATAAAAAAGGCAATTTTACGGATTTGTTATGATTTCTTAATTTAGTAATAAATTTATCAACTTGTGCATATGACTTTTGGTTCAGATCTTACACTGTAATTAACTAACCAATACTTATAATTGAATATTTATAATTAATGTAAGTAACTAATAAAACTAAAATATATTATAAGAAATGTTCCATATTGTAATAAACTCAGCTATAATCATGGGATTTCTGCACACTACATCATGTGACTTGTTTGATCTTCAACTATTTTCATAGGTAACTTTAACAATTATTTTAATTAATTCTTTTTTAAGCAAAAATTTTAGTAACATAGTATACATTAAGATCCTGTTAGAAAATTAGATAACTTATTTTCCTCTTATTTATTTAATTTAAAACAAGTACAATCATTTTATTAATACAGTCAGTTCTTTTATAGTGACACCTCTCAGAACTGAAAAAAAGGGTGTGATTATAAAAAAAGTCATATGTTGTGATTATAGAGAAGGTTTTTCTAATATATTTATTAATAAATTAAGCCAAAATATGGTATGCTTATAAAGGAGAATTTTATATGATATAATCATATGGGAGTGACTATATAAGGGGTCAACTGTACTACCTTAGCAGTAATTTTTTATGACAATCTAAAATATAATAATCAAGCAATTACACTGGTATTAAGCTCTGAGTTATTAGCTGATCTCTGATAATCCATGAAGTTACTATAAATTATTCAATAATAGTTTTATGATTATTTTGATATAAATAATAAAATCTTTGTTTTATTGCTACTTATCTATATAAGATATAATATCATTTTAATATATACAATTATTTTATACTATACAGTCTACTCTTGATATAGCGAAAAAATCATTCTGCACCTCAAATTCGTTATAGTAAATTAACGAAGAATTTGAAGAATTTGATTAGTTATTTCATTATAGTAAGGGAAATTAGGATTGTAAGAGTTACATTACATAGGTTACGATTAGTGTTTGGAATCATGTAACAGTTATTCGAATAACTCGAGTATATTTGAGTATTCGAATAAGCATAGTGGTTATTCGAGTATTCATTTAGCCAGATATAGTATAGTTAAAATTCTAATTGGGCATTAAATCCTTAAATTTAACTGAGTTAAAATCATAATTCAGGCTAAAAATTATGTAAATCATTACTATAAAAGGAAATTTAACTTATTCAAATATTATTCGAATACACTTTATAAATTTAAATGAATACTCGAGTGTATTCGAATATATTCGATTCCAAACACTAGTTACGATACATATAAATTATACTGTAAGTTATATTAACCCCTTGTAATTTACAACTTATATTATAATATATGATTAATTTCTATTGGTTATATTATGTGATCAAACTTTCCCAAATTAATGCATAAAATAAAACAATTTATCAACTTTATTTATTTTCTTAAAAAATTACATTTTTACAATCATATTTTTTAAAATTAATCATTAATTTTAAAAATTGGAATCATTATATTATAATTTTACTTACTGAAAAATATTGTTTTCTAATTATTCTAATATTATTTCCAAAATCTCCCAATATAATTTATATGTAATTTACAAAACTTAAAATGTAATTTACATTAAAATTTTTTAAAATACTGTAATTTTACAACCTTAGGGAAAATTGACATATTTAATTAGCTAAACGTCACGTTATACTTTTCGTCAAAATAATAAAATACTAATTAAATTTATTTTGACAAACATAATGTATTTTGACAGATGTAATTAATTCATAGTAATTTTATAATAAATAGTGAATTGGTCCGTTCACTGAAATATGATGTAATTAATTAGCGAAGAAGTATACGTCACGTAATTCGTTATATTAAAATTCGCTATAAGAAGAGTAAACTTAAGGATAGGAGTTAATTAACGATTAATTTGGTTAATTATGTTTAACTAAAATTGGTTAATTAATGGTTAATTTGGTTAATTATAAATTAACTAATCAAAAAAGAAATTTAAATCATATGATTATAGTTAATTTGGCTTAAACTAACAAAATTAATACATTTGACCAGAATTATAAAGTTAATCAATGGTTAAATAACAGTTAATTAACAGTTAATTAACTGGTTAATTAACCAAATTATAATTAACCGTTAATTTACCATCTCTAGGTAAACTGTATTTTATTTTATAATATTATATTAATTATAAATTAATATAATTAATATTATAAAGTAACTAGAAATGAAATGTTAGAAATGTTTCTTTAAACTCAAACAAATAAGAAAAGTCCTTCTTCCTTATTTACCTTTAAAAGTATGGTATGTACAAAAATCCAAGCATCCCTAAAAAAAAAAATAAAAATGAAACATTAGAAATGTTTCTTTAAAGTCAAACAAATAAAAAAACCCCCTNTAATATTATATTAATTATAAATTAATATAATTAATATTATAAAGTAACTAGAAATGAAATGTTAGAAATGTTTCTTTAAACTCAAACAAATAAGACCTTCTCTTTCCAATTTACCTTTAAAGTCCATATATACTAAAAATCCAAACATTTCTAAAAAAAAAAAAAAATAAAAATAAAACGTTAGAAATATTTCTTTAAAGTTAAACAAATAAAAAAATCCCTTCTCTTTTTGATTTACCTTTAAAGTTCGTATATATAAAAAATCCAAGCATCTCTAAAAAAAAAAATAAAAATAAAATATTAGAAACATTTCTTTAAAGTCAAACAAATAAAAAAACCCTTTCTTTTCCCAATTTATCTTTAAAGTCCATATATACAAAAAATCTGGAAACCTTAGAAAAGAAATAGAAAATGAAACGTTAGAAATATTTTTTTAAAGTTAAACAAAACTTTCTTCTTTTTCCAATTTACTTTTAAAATCTGGTATATTCAAGAAATCCGAAAACTCTAAAAAAAAATGAGAAATAAAATGTTAAAAATATTTCTTTAAAGTCAAACAAATAAAAAAAGTTCTTTTTTCTAAAGTTTGACATATACAAAAAACTTAGCATTCTTAAAAAAAATAAAAAATAAAATATTAAAAATGTTTTTTTAAAGTCAAACAAAAAAACTCACTTCTTTCTAATTTATCTTTAAAGTTTAGTATATATAAGAAATCCAGAAACCTTAGAAAAAAAAGATAAGAAATAAACTGTCAAAAATATTTCTTTAAAACCAAATAAGAAAAAAAATATACTTATTATTCCAGTCTGCTGAAACCTAAAAAAAAAAACCAAAAAAAAGATTATTTTGTTTATTATAAACATAAAAATCCGATTCTATATTGCCTACAAAAATATAAATTAATTAGTACTAGTTATAAAAATTATCAAGCAGCAATCTGCAAATAAAGTAGAAAGGATTGGAATAGGACCCTGCTTATTTATAATAAAAGTTACTGTAGAAAATTGGCCCTTTACTAATAGTTTTTACCTTACTTTTTTCTTAAATTCTATTGGTTAATTAGCTAAAAAGAAAAAAAATCATAACAATATAACATAAAATTTCCTTTTATAGTAGGA